CACGATATGCAATATCGTCACGCGAAAAACAAAATACGATATAGCTACTACGAGGTATTCTTTTCGTCGAATCGATAAGAAACGATACGCGAAGGAAAATCAGAAACGAGATATACTTCTTTTATTAATCGATCCTATGTTCGTGAACTTTTTGAAAAAAGCGATTAAGTTGTTTCAAAATTAAGCTTTTACCAACGTAAAATAAACCTACGATTGAAATCGAACTTACACGGTTCTTCCGATTCGAGCGTAACAAAATCCGATTCTTAGATGTTAAAATAGAAATTATAGTTTGTTAATTTTCTAAAAGTTTCGATTTTCATCTTGAAAAATATATATAATCCTTTCGAAGGAAAATTGACGCGAGGAAAATTTCGTCGAATACCGTAATTTCCGCGTAATTTCAACGTTGTTACCGTGAAAATTGTGAAATTCATATTTATAATCGGGAAATAAAGCTGTTTTGCATAAAATGCATAAGCGGAAGAAAATAAAGGCGTTCGAGCGACACGTCACGTCTAACTATACTCCAACCGTATCTACTTGCCGTAGTTACGCACCCAGCTAAGTGGAACGAGGCGTTACGTTCAAACGTCGCTGTTCCGGTAACACAATTCAGAAGGGAGTTCTCTCCGAGGACTTTCACCGTATTAACCCAATATCAGCCATACGCTTCAGAATCAGGTTAACAACCTCCTAGCTCTCCACTCTTCCCCTTCCGTTCGTCCAAACAGTTTGATTATTCCACTATTTATTTGCTCGCTACGTTCGATAATACTTGAACGACCGGTATTATCTCACCCCTTTTAACGCATCCATTTTATTTTTAATTTTTCACCCGCAATTTTCGTGCGAATATCTCTCCTTCAACGGTATGGAAGAATTGTTTTTTTACGATAATGCTTCGGTGAAAAGCGAATTCAAATTGCCTTTTTCCGACTTCCCTTCCTATCGCGTGCCGATTCATAAACATTTCTTCGCTATCTATTCGCGTCCATTAATATCTCGTTGCTCTCGGAGAATCGAAGAAAAAAATATCGCATCCTGCAGTTTGAATAAACGAATCGACGAATGGTGAAAAATGTAAGATGTCAATACGTGAATCACGTTTGTACGTACGCCGTTACAATAAAAATCGTCATAGGAAAACGCGCGTCGATGCACGGGGAAAACGTCGAATATCTTCTTCCTTAATGTCTCTCCTCTGTCTCTCCTCGCCCATAATGATACAAAGGCGACGCGGGATTCTAACTTGCGCGTTAAAATATACGGTTACGCCTGCTCGCGTGAGCAAGCAATTCTATAGTTTCGCATAGATTTGCGAAAAGCTTTGAGATAAGACAGGCACAAAGGCCAACTCTGCTCCAATTTCAAACATCGATGTTTCTAAAATCATCTCCTTTCTATTTTGAGACCGATTCGTCTATCGTGCCGTTCAATGCTACCGTATTTAATTTAACGATAAAATTGTATTCTTAAAAACTTTTCTTTTTCTTTCTTCTTCGAATGGAAACGAAATATCTTTCGAATCGATTCGAATTGAATAATACAAAAGATACTCTTCCTATATGTTATTTTGAACGCAGTATATGTTTTTTTTTTTTTAAAGAAAAATTAATTTTTGAATTAACGAAGAAATGAAATTGATTAAATCTATGAAATCGCGCAATTTCAAGCGATATTCGTCCAAGTTTTCTTTTTCAACAAACGAAATACGAATTTGGCAAAGTATCATTGGCAACGCTATTGTTCTGTTCTACTAAAAATACTACGAAAAATTGATTCCGCTAGAAAATATCGATGTAAATATTACGTCGTGGAGAGATTAATTTATGGACTAGTATGTAAAAAGAAATTAATTAAAATTGAATCTCGAAATGCATAAAACATTGTTTCTCGAGAAACAAAATATCTTTGATTTTTCATTCTTGATTCCATAAAATTTCGTTCGAAACGTAGTTTCACGTAGTTGCTTGACAATATTACAATAAAAAATGTAAGTATGAATATCGTCACTCGCCAAGATGATAGAACGTTTAAACGCGAAACGTGGGCAAGAAATTTGAAAAAATGTAATAGAAGAAAAGTAAGTAAAACGTAAGGCAACGTGGACAAGTTACATTGACGCGAGGCGTAGCTAGAATTATAATAGACGACGCATACTCGTTCCTAAGGTCGATGGATAAGACTCGAAGGCAAGTTGTTTGCACGGGACTAGATGACAAAACGTGCAACTCCTTTCGCCTTATACCCTCTCTCTTCTCTCCCTAGTGTAACACTACGCGTACACGCGATTGGCTCGCACACGGTTGAAAGCGTGTAAAGGCTTCGAGGAGTGTGTGTTACCCGCGTCTGGCCGAGGGCGATATCGTTTACGATAATGCATGTGCCTAGTGCAGATCTCTCGGTCGAACGATCGTCCCCTTCGGCCTGCTCACCCCCCTATCGTCGACTCGTTACCTTCGACTTAGCACGTTCACACGCGATATGATACTTGAACAGACGCTCCAACGACAATCTTCGACCGGTCGATTTGGAAAAATTGAACTAGAACGGCACGAATTTACCACGGTTTTCCTCCCTCTCTCTCTCTCTCTCCTATCTTCGAACGTGTACCTCACGCTGTTAGAGTATTTTCTCATTTCGAGTTATTTTCCGATGCTATCCGGCACGTAGGAGAAAATTGGCGGGCGCGGAAAAAAGGAATTGTAGCGAGCTATTCGTTGGCTTTGTTCGGTATATCGCAACGCAGGTGGGGTTGAGGCGGCGGAGACTCGCCGAGGGAATGAAACCTGATTTAGGACTGCGGTCCAGAAATCTCCCGGGGGACCGTCCGAGCTGACCACTGCGCACTCGCTTCGCTTTCCAGCGTCCCTCCGAGCGCTACTACCTCACCCTCTGCTACTACCACCGCCGATTCTCGGCCAGCTCCTCCGTGTCCCACGTCCAACATCCTCGTGTCCCTGGACGCCAACAAGTGCGACTCTTTACCAACATCGCGTTCCAAATGCGTCCGGAATACTAAGAAACTCCCAGCCCACGTTTACACGCAAGAATTTATTACAGGGCGAAAAGTCGTGCCGCGGATAAATTCTATTATCGAGTCAAACGAAAATAGGATATCTCTCATTTCTCTCTAAAAATCTTTCTCTCTATTTCCTTTTTATTACCAACATAGAATACGATTTTCTCGGATACTTGTCGCCAACTTTATCTCCCTCCCTCCCTCCCTTATTGTTAGGAGAAATTGAAAGAAAATTTCCGGCCCCTGTTCAACGAAACTTTCAATCGGTGGAATCTTTACTTTCCAAGTTCCACCTCCTACGATGCAGATAACAAATATTGTTTTGTACAATATCGAATCCCTGTGGTCCTGTATCGAGGATACACCCCTGCGAAAATCTAAAGGGAAGGAAAGAGGAGCAGGTTAGGGGGAAAAGTTTCAGGCGAAAGGAAAAGAAAGGGAATAGAGGGAAAGGTAGGAGAGACGCTCCTGGCACAGCCTGGCGTGTAGGTTACTACGTGCTTGCTAGTCGGGGCATCCCGTGACCGTGGTCTGGCTTAAGGATTCGGGTCAGGCTGTAACCTGCCTCGATTGCAAATACAACCGGGGAGGAGGGCAGGGGAGGGGGGGAAACACTCTTGGACACACTGCCAAAACCAAAACTCGAGTGGCAGTGCACGTAAACCCGTGTGCAATCACCAAGATGCAAAAATTTAATCGTTTGATTCCTCGGTCCTCGACCTATGTCACTTTTTAGTGAAGGAAAGATCCGCTGTGTGTTACATACGCACGTGATGCGAATAGAAGAGAACGTTTCGATATCACGGATATCTTCGCAAATGTGTAAAACGAATCGCTACTCGTTTAAAACAATTTTTAAATATTCGTTGAAAACAATGTTCGAATAACATTCGTTCACGTTTTTAATTAATACGTGATTAACGTATGGCGTATTTATCTACGCGTGTATATGTGTATATATAAAACTACCTGTATCATTATTGTTAAAGACGCGAATAAATTTAGGCAGACAGACGGTCAAAATTCGAGTTCTTCGTAACTCGTTCAAACTCGTTTTTTTTTTACGTGTAATAAAGATTACCTGGAAATAAAAGATCGTTCCTTCGAAAATGTCAAGATTAGCATATAAATACGAGAAAGATCGAAGAAAGTTATTCGAAGAGCTATCAAAGTAATTGTTAGATAAGTGCTTGAACGACATCTATATTTTCAAAGATTCCATCGTTGCACGATCGCGTAATAGAGAGACCAGAATACGACACGACAAAGTATCACGTGCTAAAAGATTATATTCCTAAATATTCTCGTTTGCGAGAAGTGTTTCGCAAAGAAAAAAATAAAAAAAAAAAAAAAAGAAAAGAAATTGGGCGTTCGCGCGACGTCACGGAAAAATAACACGCCTTTTATCACCGGATATGAATCCTATTGAGCATACTTGGAATATGCTTGGGAGAAGATTCAGGCACAAGAATGCACCCTCGATGCGACGAAAGCTCGTTGGTTAGGCACTGAAGAATGGCTCGGCATACCGTAAGAAGATCTTCCTCGCCATCTTTTTGGAAGGTGTGCGCGCATTCTCGTCTCATTGCGAATGGAAAAAATGAAAAATTTGAGACGACGGATGCTGAAAACGTTCCCGACCTATCGAGAAACCAATTACTTGTATTTCCCGTCTCGCATCCCGTCTTCACCGTTCTTATATATTCTATATCCATATATTCAACCGTTTATTCGTAATTCGTCGAATCGATTATTCGTATTCCTAATACGATAGCGATTCTCCGGCGTATTTATTGGAAAATAATATTCGGGAAGAAAAGTTCTTTCGACCAATTATTGCATGGAAAAACGAAAGTTTGCGAAATATTTACGCGTGTCTTTCATACGTATACGTTCGAGAAAACGAGCGAACCTCGTTTTTTCGTTTCTTCGATACGCGAAAGAGATTATTTTACGTTTAAGAAAATAAAAATACCTGGTTGATAAAGATAGAGGTCCGCGGCGCGCGGCCACACGATCGCCGAGCGCTCCACGCTGTCTGCTTGATTCCGCGTGCTTGCGGATCCGAAAAATCCTACGAAGAATCGCAAACAACAACTGACGTATTCTACTTCTAATGGTTGTCTCGTTGTCAGCACCGATGATCGTCGTTTACGTAATTCACGAGTCTTCTTCCTCCTCTTCGACGGTGTCTGCAGCGCAACGACGATGCACCGTCATCCCTCTCCTTCTATTCGCAACATGAAAGTGACACACACCACACGCGTTTCGATTCTCGACAACAGGACGGAAGAATCGTTTGACGGAGAGTCTCTCTATTTCTTTTTTCTTTTTTTCCCTAACCTTTCATTCCCTATTCACTCATCGGTCGAACACTCATCGATCACGTCCCATGTTGCAACGTCGATACGGAACATCGATACGGAAAAATTCAACGAGCGCACAAGGATAACCCGACAACTTTCAAATTGATCGCGAGCAACAGTCGCGCGTTACAGTCGCGGAAAAGCGCCACTAAGAGCAGTTGGACACGACCACGTGAGGAACGAATTGGAATCCGAATCCACGTGTCGTCGATTTCACGCGGACCTCCGCGAAATCAAATCCGCTGAAACTGTTTTGCCGAATTCTAGGCTAGGCCGCGGTATCCGTTATGTCGTTTGACACGCGCGCCTTCCGCGGCTCGATGGTAAAACACAGTGGAAAAGAACACTTGATAAAGGAGCGGAAGGAGAGGCGACTCGTTATTTCCACGCTTTCGAGGGAAGAGAATTTGAAATTATGCGAACACGAACCAGTGTAGTCAGTTCGACTCGTATATATATATCACCGGGGCACGTGTATCACCAAATATCGATACAACAACAACAAATAACAACAACAACACCACTGTATCACCACTGTACGAAGGATGAGGATGATCCCTTCGGAATCGTTTCTCTCGCTAGCTGCGCAGTAGACGCTCCTCGTGCTAGGTGTCAACTCCTTCGGAGATACAACCGGCGGTGAGAGCGTCAACCGCGTGGCCACCGATCGTGCTCCTTTTCGACGTCGTCGTATTCATCAAGAAGGAAGATTGGTCACCTTGGTCTGTCAAGGTGTAACGCGACCCGTTTTCGATTCGTCACTCACGCGTTACGAACAAAACTCCGCCTCCACCTCGCTCCACCTCATGGAGGAAAAACTTGCCATCAAAGGATAAAATCGCGTATCCGGCGCGTTCGCAATTATCACTGGCCACGTCTCGAAATGCTACGTTTGTGCGCCCGACGTATGCGCGTCGTTTCATCCGCCGAGTCTATTCACCGACGAATAAAAATCCGGTGGAACGAGAAGGCAGGGGAAGAGGTGGCCGATAATAAATAACACTCACTGTCCAGCTGATCGGTACGACGTGGTCAAAACTCGTTCACTCAGCAACGATAACTGCCTTCTTCTTTGCCAAAACGTGGAGATGGTGTACACTGCGGTCGCTCTCCGCACACTGAGGTTAGCTGACGTCACGAGCCCACCACGCGGAGGTAGTCTCGCGAACGAACGTTTCGCGCCGGCGCCCGCGGCGCTGCAATCTCTATAGATACACGACCTCTCTCTCCGAGCCGGTATACCGCCGGATATTCTTCCTATACGTATATCCTATCCGCCTACGTTCACCATTTCGACTCGACTCGTTTCTACCTGCGATCGAAGACCGAGTAGAACGTCTCGTTTAACCATCAACACTTGATGGAGTTTCACACAACGTTGGACACGGAGCAAACGGCCAACACTGACGGACAACTTTGCACTGAATCGAACGAGGGAAACTGTTCCGCGCGAATCGATTTTTCCTGGTACAATCGATTTATATCGAGAATTCCGTTCCTACTTGGGCGCGTTCTTTCGTTACGTTTAAAACGATCAACGTTGTTCCATTCGATCGAAAAACAACGAATACGAATATTATTATCACGGACCAATACTTGGTAATAATGCTTTAGAACGATATCATGCGTGCGAACTAATCGAGTTACATTAAATATAATTTGTTTCGTTGTTAGAAACGAAATTATGTTAATTTTTGTTAAATGTGCATACGAACAACGAGAAAAAGATATTTTAGAAATTGAATGGCAATAAATTGGGCGAAGAATCGAACGATATCTCCCGATTCTATCTACGACGGAAAATTCTACCGGCAATATTTTTCACGCGAAAAGGTTTCGATTTCACCACGGTGGTAATAGATCAATGTCAAATAAGTGATTTCAACGCTGAGCTTGTATAAAAATTCTTTTATCCTTAACCAACCGCGTTACCTCTCTAAAATGTACATGACGTTTGTAGAATTAAAATGAAAAGCGGCGCAAAATACAGGAAAGAACTCTTGATCACCATAAATCATCGTTAAAACAATATTCTGTCAACTGTTTCATTCCACTTTATAAACTCGCGCATTTCGTATAACGAAATATTATCAACGGAATACTTTACCATCTCCATCCCATCCCGTCCATTTGAATCGCAAAATCGATGGATGGATGATAATCATCGACATCGATCGCGAGGACGAACGTTTTACGATATCGATTAATATCAATTATATTTTCTCCGATACTTCGATATCCCTTAACTTTTCACGCGTTTACTCGCGAAAAAATAAAATGGCGGATAAAGATCGCCTCCCGCGGTGATACCCGTGATCCTTAAGGTGATTTCTCACAGACGGGAAACCGCGGACGAGGGATTTCAAAGAGAAAACTCGCAAGTCCCTTCGGACCATCGTTACGGGTAGAAAGTTTCGACGGAAGTTGTGTCCTAACTCCGTTAACTCCGTCGAAGACGATGTAGAAATCGACAAATCCACGACGAAGAATCCACGTGAAGATGCCCTTATCTTTTCTCTATTTTTAAATTCGATAAACGCTAATTCTTTTTACCATTTTTTAATCGTAAAAATCGCGAAAAATCAAGCGACACCAAAATAATTTACGTAACTTGTATAATTTTCTCATTTAAAACCATAATATACCCATAATATTTAGGAGCCATAATATAGGTATATTTTTCTGTAAAAATATCGACGCGTATTTTTTCGAATCGAATAAAAACCTTAGTATTTTCAGTCGAGAAGAAGAAGAAGTAGAAGAGGAAGAAGAAGTAGAAGAGGAAGAAGAAGTAGAAGAAGAAGAAGAAGAAGAAGAAGAAGAAGAAGAAGAACAAGAACAAGAAGCAAAAGAAGAAGAAGAGGAAGAAGAAGATATCATCGATATGCTTATTGTTGGAACGAAACGATTGAATTATGCAGGAAAAATAACAATTGATAGGATGTATTTACAAGGTTCCTACTCGTTATACGCAAAGTAGCTGGTTTAAGTGCATGTCGGTTAGTATGTAGGTTGATGCAGTAGGAATAGAATAGCGAAGGAGAATAAACGAGAGCGAGAAGCAAAAGAGACAAATAGGGGGATACGGAATGGGGTGGAAGGGAAAGGAAGGATGAAAGAAAGAAAGAGAAAGGGCAGCCGTCAATCTCTTTCTGGTCCCATCTCGCTCGTTCTTGCTCCCTTTCTCTTTCGCTCTTGCTCGTCGGTGGTGTTGGGTGGGCTGATGGTAGGAGGTGGATGGAAATCAATAGCCCTGAATAATGAACCCCAAGGCAGCACCCTCGCTCCGCTCTCCACGGTCTGGAGCAGTCTCTCATGCATCCTCTCATTCCAAACCGAGAGAGAAAGCAATTCTCTCTATCCATCTCCCGCCTTCCCTCCTTTTCCATATTTCCCTCTCCCTTCCTCATCCTCATCCCCATCTCCTTCACCTCTCCGCACCACCCACGGGCCTACCGATCCCTTCTTCTCTCCTTCTCAACACCCGAAAGGAGGTGTTTGTGTCCTCTCCTAGTCCCCAACTTTGCTACGAGACCCCCTCGAACCCAATTCGGATAACCGACGGAAGAGGAGGAGAAGCAGGAGGACACGGAAAATGATTACCCTCCTCCTCTTTCTCCTTCACCTCCTCCTTCTCTTTCTCCACGACGGATCGATGGTCGTCGAGCACCTTGGTTCGTGATTCTCTTGGATTCGGATCAATACCTACTTTAGCATTGCAATAAAATGGTCGGACAGCGCGTTATGATAGCCTCCACTCTTCTCTTATCGAGTATCCGTCCAAGAAGCAATTTCGCGGCCACTAAATTTATTTGCGATTCCGCTCTAACGCGAAACGTACACGTTGCCGCGAGATCTCCACGAGAGGAGGAAAAGAAATGGGAGGAAGGAGAGAGGGGGAGGAAGAAAGGTGGAGGATGATGACACACGGCGATCGGGGGCAATTAATAAATTAATTAAAGGGGACGACGTATCGATCGAATCAATAACGGGTAAATATTAATTAATTTAACAAACGTAATCGTTCGAGGCCAGAAGAAGAGAGGAGAGGTGCGATTCCGAGACGATCGAGGCTCGATGTTTTCATCCGACTGAGTTTCGATACGATGACTAGAATAAATAGACCCGTCAATTTACATAGTCGTTAACGGGTATAGCTGGCAAGCCCTTATCGGCTCGGTAGCTCCTGAACCTCCTGACCTAGCCAACGCGTTCTACGTTATTCCTATACTCCTCCTTCCCCTCCTCCTCTTCCTCCTCTTCCTCTTCCTCTTCCTCCTCCTCCTCCTCTTTCTCCTTCTCCTCGTCATCCCGTTCCTTCCTTCTCCTCTCCTTCTCTCTACACCTAGCTAACTTCAAGGCTCTTCCCCTATATACCACCTTGGATCCTTATCCGAAGGAGACGCTTATTAAAGATCGATCGGGGACACTGCAGCAATTCTTGGATACTTTAACCAATTGAAAGTAACTGGATAGCTGGAGGAAACGTTGGCCTGAATGCAAACCCTTGTAATTTACCGTCGCTCCATATTGCTCCTACAGTTTGTAACTTGAACGATGCATCCGTAACAACGATCCGTAAGAGCCACGACGGTTTAACGACATTTACAATTTAGATACGAGTGTCGCCGGAGCGTTCTCCCTTTATTCGACGATTCGATTATTAAAAAGTATTCGATATTCGATCGTTCGAAACGTATTTATATCGAATCCCAGACGAGTGAAACTCCTAAACGAACGCGAACAATAAAAGAACAAAACCCATTTTTTTATTTTATTTTATTCTACAATCGTATCCCTTTATCACGACCACGACTTTGACTTTCGTTCTACTCTTTCTTCCATCCCACGCTACTTTCGTTTCGATCCCACGCTTATATTCGCTCGTCATTTCGAGACGATAAGTCCGTATTCCCGGACTGGGAAAATGTTTTCCTTGGCAATCAAACGGATCGTCGTCAACGTTGGTCGTCTTCTTTCCACCGAGCCAAAAGAGCCTAAAGCGGATCGGCGGAACAACCCCTCGTAAAGGCGGGCTTGGTAACGACTATGCAAATTTCATTTGGCCCGGCCCAATTCTTCACACACGAAAGATTAAGACATTAGACTAGCCCAAGGATGGAGGAGAGCATGCTCTAAACTGACTGGAGACTGAATATATACTGTATACGTATATATAGAAGGGGGAGAGAGAGAGAGGAGAAGAGGAGCTTTCGCCACGAGATTCGGAATACCGACATACTTCCGTCGTCTGGATTATCTTCTCGTCTTCAACTATGCATCGTCTTCGCATATATGTAAACCTGATACGACGGAGCTCTTAAATTTTCCACCCAACTTTGCTCGTTACTCGTTACATAACTCATAGCATTTCTAATAACCGCAACAATCGTTAATAACCGCGCGTTTTCATTCAATTCCGTATATCATCCTACTTTGCATACAATTAAACACATCGGTCGTGTTTCACGGTGACACAGTAATGTCATTTTAACGAGTCATACTTTCAACGATCCCACGAATGAAAAGCGGAATACGAGGCGACATTCATCAAATTATATCTATATTTATGCATTCTTATCAAACTATTTTTATAATTGATTATGCGCGTAGAGGAAGGCGTTATACAGCTTTGGAAAATAAAATGCTGGAACAATGGCAAAAGATGAACGTTGGAAAACGTCGAAGATGAAGAAACGAGAATTTCGGGACTGTTCTTTTAACGTTACTCCTTAATGGTTAACCTTTTTGAAGAAATTCTCCTATTTTCGCCTCTAATCGCAGATTACGCTTTCGAGATCCTACCTTCTGTCACCGTCGTCACGTCAATCCTTATTCCTCGGCATTTTTCCTCGAACGAAGCTCGAAACTTACGCCCTCCCCTACCTTTCGAAACCGTAATTTTAAAGTTCGAAGTAGCAATGGATAACCATATGGATATGTTTTCGTTGCGTACCACGAAGAAGAAGGACCAAGAAGAAGCGGGAAAAGGAGAAAACGCAAAGGAATAAGATGGCGCAATGTCCTTTGCACTTCCCTCAGCAACGGCTCTTCTTGCCCCCGATCGAGACAAAGCCATAGGTATTACCTTATTTCCCCAGTGCCTTGCTCCCTTCTATTGTACAAATCCTCCTTAGAAGGGTGTTGGCGCTCACACACGCGCGCTTCCTACAATCTGCCAAGGTATTTCGAATCG